AATTACAAAATTGCTATTTTGAAATTTGGCCGCATGGCGCAGCAATAGGAGGTCTTTAGACCGAGCCAACCATAGAAAATTCGCCAATAATATAGTATGACGAAACATTTATCTGGAGCATTTATGTCAGTAATAAAGAGCTTCAGAAGCAGCAAATTTCCTTATAGAGGAAATTGAATATAAAATATAAAATTTTAAAATCACCTAAAATGGTCGGCAAGACCATAAAATTTGGACAATTCATACAATGGATAGTTCAGGTTTTTCTTCCTTTTTATTTCAATTAAAAAATTTTTTTATTTAATGTCAATGAATTCATTTTTGTGATCACGTGTTTAGGCATAATGAAGGTAGATTTAATATAAAAATACTAGAGGTTGGGATCGTCCAAAAAATCCTTAGTCGACTACTAGTTGTTCAAAAATTCTTTAGTCGACTAAATTTTTTTCATAATAATAATATTTTGTTTTTAATTTGCAAATTGGGAATATATTTCCATTTGAATCGTTCACTTTTTCAAAATACTTCCACACAAGCCATGTGTTACGATTCGTTTTTTTAAAGGTCTTCTAGAACCACCACTTAAATCATTGGAACTTGAAGCCAATGAACTATTGGACTTTGTATTGGAAGTGTTTATTCATTCACATGTAAAATTATCATCAACAACACACTATTATTGTCGTCATCATCATATTGATGGTATTGATACTCTTCCGCATAAAAAATCAGTTTCGACTTCATGTATAGTTGAATTACGTCGTGAAATTAAGCAATTTTTTTATGACTTTTTGTTCTAAGTAACAACACTTCAAATGTTCAAGCTTGCATATTTCTATCAATACTCATCGCCTAATAAAATATAGTTTTTGAATAATATGTAACTTCTTAAAATCGTTTAAAAATGCTAGTTCCTGAGACTTTATTTTGTCTAATAAAATATCCCACATAATCATAAAATGTCTAAAATTTCACAAAAGAATTTAAAGTATAGCGAACAAAATAAAAAAAGATAATTAAATTTCGTTAGAAATTGATAAAGTTCCATGTATTGAGAAAATTTACAAAAAATTTTTCGATTCAAAATTCAAAATGCAATTTTATTAATCTTTTCGCCTTTCCATAATCCATAAATGGCACCACGTTCAAAATCCGTAAGTTCTTTTCTTTCGGTCATTTCAATATATTCAAAACAAATAATTTTATTGCTTTTAAAACAAGCCTCAAAGTTTTGTCATTAAATTTTACATATTAGATAATTTAATAACTTTCAAAAAATTATTTGTAAATTTTCTCAATACATGCAACTTTATCAATTTCTAACGAATTTTAATCATATTTTTTTTATTTTATTCGCTATAATTTAAATTCTTTTGTGAAGTTTTCAGACATTTTATTATTATGTGGGATATTTATCGGACAAAAGAAAGTCTCAGGAACTAGTATTTTTAAACGATTTTAAGAAGTTACGTATTACTCAAAAACTATATTTTATTAGACGATGAATATTGATAGAAATATGCAATTTTGAACATTTGAAGTATTGTTACTTAGAACAAAAAGTCATGTTTTCTCATTAGTTTTCGAGTATTTGTGTAAAAACATCACGAAAATTTACATGATCTGCATTTTGTCCGGTCATTTTTGGCAGGCGGGTGATACTATTCTAATAAGCCATGTTCATTAAAGTTAGATCACTGGTTCTCATGTGATATGACATAATTTCAACCATTTCAACTTCATGTATAGTATGATGTGTAAAACGATTAATAATCAAATATAAGATTGTAGACTTCACCTCATGTTTATTTGCCAACTCTATAATTGAAGCTTGAATTGGATCATCTAAAAATATAACAAGATAGTATGTAATAAAAAAACAATAAAATATAATTTTGCTATCAATTTTTGACTAAATCATCATAAGAATAATAATAATAACAACATCGGTTCAATGCAAATTTTTAATTGCAATTTAATAATTTTGATCTCAAGTATAATTGGTACAGACCAAAAAGTTTTCGGGTTCGGGTTTTTCGGTTCGGTCCCAACCAACAACCCGAACCCGAATTGGGCTCAACCTGAAAACTTTCGGGTCAGCCCGGCCCGTTTCGGAGCTTTAAATGGACCAAACTTGAAAAGGACGGGGGACGGGCAGATGTATCTGTTTGATTAAATTAATTATTTCATTTCCATTCATTAAAATGAAAGGAGAGCCTTCAGTCACTATAAGAATGTAATAGTACAATAATGAGAGGTGAGGAGGAGCCTTCTGATGATCATGTTTTGAAGAAAAGAAAAATAAAGGGTGTTCTAGGAAGTCAAGTTGGATATGGAACTCGATGGAAGAAACTGAAATTGTAAAAGATGGTGGAGAAAAACCTAAAGGAACTATTTGTCCCTGAAGCTTCTGATATCATTGTTTATTGTAATGTGCAATGAATCTACATCTAACTATATTACGCACTTGTTAGAAATTAGCTTGAACCCGTCCCTAGTCCTTTTCATGTGTCCCATAGTAAATTATAATGCTTTAAAGACTTCAATAAGTAGTAAATCAATTTAGTTGTATCTCGATTTACTTTCCATTCCCTTGCGTTTAGCCCATAATGCGAATGTGGCTTTATTTCATCTAAAGATTTTACCATTAAAGTGAGACGTTTTGTCATTTTAAATTTCTATGAATAAAAACTGATTCAGGATTCTGGCTACTAACTAATTTCTTATGATAATTGATATAATGTGAGTTTATTTTATTTTTGTAAACTGGTATGCATAAAACATAGTCTGGTATGTATTAAATTGTGGAATGATATATATTTTTTGTAGTCGTAAATTTGTTTGTATATACACACCCTACAAAAAGTATCGACTCACTTGATGATAATCGAATAAACGGGTAATGCAAATACTCGTTTTTTACTAAGCAAATCGATGTTGTGTATTAATGAGAAAATGTTTGTTGAAATGATTCCCATAAAACTCTAAAATATCACATTGGATTGATTGTTATGATGTTTAAAAGTCAAATTAAAATTTTTCGAAAATTTTTAGAAAAAATAGCACTTAGAGCTATTTTAAGATACAATGTTTTAACACATCTAAAAACTTAGGAAATGTTGTTCCGTTTGTTCTCAAATGTATATATATAAATGTTCATAATTATTGATCGAATATTCATGGAGAATTAATACAAAACGTAAAAATAACGAAAAAAAATTTCATCCACAGTTTGTATAATGTTTTACATAATAAATCTTTATTACAGTCGAACCCTCGTTTCAACGGACCTCGTTTCAACGGATTTTTGGTTTTACCCCTTGATTTTTATTAATTAAAAAATTCTCGTTTCAACGGATTTTATATTTAAATCGCGTT